TGGCCTAGTCCCAGTTGATTTCGAACAGTCTAATTCTTCTATCAGGAGGCCTTTAGCGTTTCAAGTTAACGCTTACATTAGCAAGTTTTTCATTTCGTTTCAATTTCTCTAATCTTTTTTTCCTTTGTGTTGATGTTTCTTTATTTCCCATAGTGTTCCCACGAGTACCGAAATAATATTTGTCAACCCTCCCAGAGCTTCGTTTAGCAGGGTAAGAGCTAATATACAACAGGGTGCGCTTCGATGCCCTGAGGGGGTACGTACACGACATCATTTTACACCCTGATGCCACTCAGTCCTCGGCACGGCCTCACCTTGACTTGGGTGGTAATTTGGTGAAAGATGCGCCACTTTTTTCAGCTTAGAGCTTACTCGTGCCTGACGAAACAACCGTTCCGGGTTTGATTTTGGGAGTTTTCCTTCTCCTAGACGGGTTGCAGATCAATGCTAATGACGCCCATCTCACCAAATTACACAAGTCATGGTATGTCTCTTGTGCCTGTTGCTCACATTGCGTGATGAACCCTTTTACTCTGGGAACTTAGAGGGTGGTAGATAATAATATTTTTTTACAATGCAAATGAATATGGGTTCTAACAACCTACTACACCATTTATTGTCTTCTTTTCAGAGTCGGGAAGTAGATATTTAAAGGTAAAAGCTTGATTTAATTTTTTTTCTAGAAATATATTTTTTTTATTAAAGCCAACCCTGGATGTGACATCTATTTCATGGTGGGCCTACCAACTGCCTATCATAAACGAATGCGTATACAAAATTTCGTGTCCCTGCTATTTACCGCTGAGGAAATCTCTCGTACGGAGCCGATCATGGCAGCAGCATCAGGTCACGTTTATGATTAACGTGCAGTCATCGGTTCTGGACCAACATGCAAAATTTCAGGTCAATCGGATACCGGGAAGTGGGTCAAATGAAACTTGCAAGATTTGTTAACATACATAAAACTCAAGTTAAATAAAAGCTTTTAATTAAAACTCATTCATCCGGATCGCAACAAGCCGAAACATATCTTATGCGTTCCATTCGCGGTTGTAGGAATCATAAAGGAGTGCTCTTCAAGAGAATGATACCACAGTAGAATACTGAAATACCATTTCAATGTCCTGAAAAAGGTAATTTGGCACCCATGCATTCTAATAAAAATCAGTCAATAAAGTAGATCACAGTTATAATTGCGTAGAGCATATTATATTAATACTACATCAATAATACAATGTCGGTTCTAGGAAACCATGTTCAGTAATGGTGATCTATTAAAATCTAATTGGTCATTCAGTGACAAGTTTGAATTTTTAAGTTTAATGGTTTTCATCGCTTCCAAATAATCAAGCTTCAATACTTTATTTTCTGTATGTAAAATTTCCTCTTCTGAAAGATGATTTGAATATGTTGAACTTGTTTTCTCATTTACATAGCTCATATGATGTTCCTGGATGAGATTTCCAAATGTCCTGCCAGTTTGACCAATATATACTTTTTAACAAGTTGAGTAGATGCTTATGTAGGTAATTATGATTGAAGAAGTAACTGAGTAGGTATCTCTCACTTGTGATTACGTGTGGTCTATAAAAACTAGAGTATATTATAGAATTAAATTTCAGTATGTAGTTCACTACGAAAAAGATACTTGGATAGCGAAACGTGATATATTTTTGAAAATAAATGTTGTGAAGATCAAATTGTAAGGTGTAATTTATAAAATTACTATGGATCTTCATCAAATAACGGCCGAATCTGTTTAAAATCTGTTTTCTGTTTAAAATCTGTTTTTCCGTTAATCAGCTGCCGCCCCCATACGAACGACAACTCTCAGAAAATCAATCAGAAAATCTAATTAGTCGGTGGCCTCCTATTTCAACTTGAGAAACTTCTCTAAAATATCATTATAGTCGCTTAATGAATGATGACATTTCATTCTCACTTCATGAGATATCCCTCTGTCGTCCTTGACTTCAATTTTGTGTACCTTCAGGGTTAAGTAAGTACTTATTGAATTGAATTAATTTTGTCAATGGTGTTTACCTGAGAAAATCGAGTCAAGAAGTAGTTTCTTGAAATAAAATGAGAATTTTTATAGTTTCAATCACGATTACAAACATTTTAAAATGTGCGTCAATCCAGGCCAGAAAATATTCATCAGTATTGTAGGGCTCCAGGTTACATAAGAAGTCTTTTTCATATCTGTTTCATTCCACTATAGACTGTGCTACGTTCATATAAGGATTTTTCATGGATGGGATATGAGAAGTCTTTTTTTTGTCTTGTCACGTAAATATGCGTTAAAATGGCCTGGATGATAAATTTTATTGATTCATAGATATAGAATGCTGACACAGTAAGTGGTTTGTTAATCCTAAAGGTTCCTCTGTAGGAATCTCTTGTGTTTATATTGAAGATTATTCTGATTTTTTTTTGACACGGGAAAACTCTATTCAACCCATGAGTTGATCCCTAGATGATTATTCCTAGTCTCATAGCAGAGTAAAAATTCACATAATATACTCATATAATAATATACTCATCGTGTATGTTACCGAGGATAGTTTGAGACAAAGTTTGTCTATCTGACTAATCCAGCTTAAAGTATCATCAATGCCTAGAACCTTCACTGATTTTTTGATTGTCAATAATTGTCTTGTGGTATTTCTATACTGTTATTGATTTTGAACATGATACAATTTGTTTTTCCATTGTTCAGAAATAACTTATTCTCTAGAAAATAATCTTTGGATTCTTCTATTATCGTGCTACCCTTTTCATATCAGATAAGTTTGCACCTGTTAATAAAAGGTTGCTATCAGTAGAATCGTTGATAAATAAGATGAATAATATTGGACCAAGAATGCTACCCTGTGGGACTACCATAGACAAGCAAAGCATGCAATCTAGCAGTATTATCTTTCTGATTGAGTTCTACTATTTGTTTTCTGTTTTTCAAATATGAATTGAATAGTCGAAGTATTTTCCATGAATTCCAGATTTATAAAGTTTCCATAATAAAATGTCATAATCTATGCAATCGAAGGCTTCAGATAAGTTTTTGAAAATTCCACAAGATAGATCTCCTTTGCCTAATGCTTCTGAGACTTTGCTGAAATACATCAAAGCAGTTTCACTTGGCTCATTTTTTAGATAGCCATGCTGGTTATTAGAAAGAATTTTCAAGTTTGTAAAGAATTTTGCTAATCGATATTTGATATACAATTTAGAAGGCTATTGGTTTGAAGTTGCAAATGTCCAACTTATCCCCTTTTTTGTAAAGTGGTTTCACTATCGCTATCTTCAGTTCATCTGAAAAAACTCTGTTCTCAAATGATTTATTGATAAGGAAGGTCAGAATACATACAATCTCATGAGCACAGCTCTTCAGTATGTGTGTGGCTACCCCATCAATACCCGTGCTTCTCTTCTTCTTCATTTTGTTTATTATTGAGAGTATCTCATCTTCTGTGAGAGGGTTCGAGAGAGGTAACTGTGAAAGGCTAGAGACCTTCCAAAGCCACTAACCTTACCAATATTCTTCTGTGTTGACAAGAGTTCAAGAGCAGATTCCGTGAAGTATTCGTTGAAGCTATTATCTACCTTGCATGGATTATCATATTGAAAGTGTACGATTTGAAATGTACCTGTCACGTGTTTAATAATCTGCCACATCGTTTTGAATTAAATATATGAGTCAACAACTTCATTTCTGTAATGTTTATATTTTTCTGATTCCAAGTGATTGATGTAATTACTCTTTTTCTGCAAAAGCTAGACACTTATTGAGATCTTTGAAGTTGTAGTTTCTCATATTATGTTGTGATTGCCAGTGTAATGCACACCACTGGACATTTCAAATCTTCAATGACCTTATGTATCAAGTTGATGCTATTTCCCAAAGACTGAACATTTTGGTGCATTAATTTTTTTACCTGGGGGTATTTTGTATCTGACTCCTTCTAAAAAAGTAACAGGCTGGTTTGTATTTCCTTTTTTTTATGTTTTGGTTCCTAAAGTTGAATCGCTCTCAACCTATGTTTTTTGGCCAGAAACTGGGATCATATACTTTCTCCTATCACCTTCATTTATCATAAATGATTGGTTATTACGCCTTGTACTCAATGTCAGTAGCTTTTTTACTTAGATTTCATGGTTTTCTGATGACTTTTTCTGTTTGTGCCTCTATATGTTTCTTTACGTTTTCTTCTGTCATATTATCGGGTACTTTGGATATGAATTACCATATCTTTTTGTGTTGATCATCATGCCCATGAAAATTACTATCACCTTCACCACTGACAATGTTATTTCACTTTTATTTTTATGACTAGTATGTATGTACCACCTCTTGAAAATTTTTCTTGCTCTTAATATCATCATTTGAATGAATAATGTCCGTCATCCTCCTTTATTAATTTTCCAGGGCAGTTGTTTGGTTTTCAGTTTGTAGCTTGTTTCCAATTTTTGAGTGTGACACCCTGTATGTTTTAGTTTCTCACAATGTCTAATTCATCGTTATGTTATTGTATGTGTTTTTTCTTAATATTTCTTCTGAATTAATTTTTCATTTTTTGTTGGAACTCTGTGTTTTATGTTTTGGGTTGCTTAGTGTATTATGAATTTCTCTTCCAAAAATGCAATTTTCTCTTGCAATAATATAATGACTCGATTTTTGCCTGCAATAAACGATTTCATATCAGTAGAAATTTTCCTAAGTTCATTTTCCTATTTCAGGAAGTCTTCTTCATATAAATAAAGTAGGTCATCGGCTAGATAATCCGGTTCATGTTTGAAATCCACTTTTTTTGGTCACTAGGTTGCTTGAGACACTTTGGATGGAAGTAGTCACTACATTTGAAACACTTCACTTTGTTCACAATTTTTTTGAGCAATGTTTACAAGTAAAATTTTCGTTTTCTGTGGGAACTGGCATTTTACAACCTGCTCGGCCCACCATTTAGGTATCAATAATACTTCAGTTGAATAAAACACAAAAATAAATTCAACTTTTATATATCACTATTATACAACAGCTTATTTCAATATTTACCAATAAATAAATACATTTCTTTTTTATTCAGAAAGAAAGAGCATTTCACAAATGCTTGCTTGAAATTGTGAGTTAAGTACCTAGTACAAACAAAAATTAGCACTGCAGATTTCAAACTAGTAATCGATACACAAGACTGAAGTCAGTTATAATTTATTCATTATTAGTGGTGGAGCAAAAATCACAATAATATTTTTTCATCATTTTGCTGTAGTAGTATTTTCTTTAATAAGTCTGCTTTGATTACAGTAAATGACTGTCAAAATTCATTCAATTATTTCTTTCACTCTGAATGAAAGGAAAGTTCCAAATACGTAATAGATCTTCAAATCATCTGAATTTTCAAGTATCACGAAGTATAATAATGCTATGTAGAAATCAAAATGTTGATCACACAAAGTTTGGGCCTAAGGACAATTATTTGCAGCTACTAAATCTAAGTCAATTTGGTGTTTTGATTTTACTTGGTACTTTCAAGAAACCAAACTGCTGCCTCACTCTAACAGGTACTAAGGACGGGAAAAGACAATAGGAAAAAAGTTTCAACAGCTTTCGAAACTTAATTCAAGTATATTGAACAGACATTGGAAAATACTACTACTCACCAGTCGCAAATAAAAATCACAATTTTCGGCATAAGCCTACAAAAGGTTCCACTGTGTTGCGACTATGTGACTGCTGGTCTCTATCGACCTCGCGATCTCTTCGTGAACGCCGTGGCTCAACCACAAAGTCTGCAACTTCTTGTATCTCTCGCGGCACAACCGCAATGGATTACCCCTGCGGAGGCCCTGATCGGTCTCCCCATAATCGTCCAAATACGGTGGCGTCACGAAACAACCTCTGTGAGGCGCTGCAAGAAACAGCACCTCACATTCGCGCACTCTCAAAAAGATCCCAACCCCAGCTCCACACTTATTCGCGTGGTGATTGCACGCCCCTACCGCGATTTTATTCATTTCCCTCTGGCAACAGTAGCTTTGCGAGCAGAGCAGTTCGCCACACATGAGGCACATGCAAGGGTTCTTCGAGTCTTCATCACTATTCGGACATGTAAACGTCGAGACCATGTTGATGAGGTCACTATAGTCCGACGGTAGACCTATGAGCTCCGGAACGATCAGAGGTTCGTGAATGACCGTCAGGTTCCCGCCTCCTAGATAGCAGACGACTTCTTCGTGGTCACACCACCGTTGAATAAGTTGAACCGCTTCAGGAGTACCAAACAGCTCTTTAGGAGTCATCGGAAGGTTGAGATAGGTGCACATGGTTCCAAAGGTGTCGCCTCCGAGCTCAGTGAGTTTCGCAGGCGCGGCCACTTCGGTTAAATAGTGGTAAAAAAGCACGCAACATCGCAAGAAAGGCTCGCAAGCACGTTGTACGTATCCCCACACTGCATAAGCGCTGACGTCGACGCATTTTCCTAGAATTCGTAATACGTCTAGGATCTGCTCATTGTCTTCATCGGTATCCATGCAGCTATCGTGGTCGACATCCATCGAAACGAGTACTTTGATGACATGACACAAGAATATTACTTTCAACAGGTGCAGGTCTAAGGCGCTGCCTGTGGGAATAGGCACAGGAGCATACTTGCACGACAGACTCGGCACAGAAAACGTAAGGCTGACCAATAAGCCGAACGTGTCCCATTGCAAAATGGACGGACCTTCATTTCCGTGTTCAAACAGCATCGACAGCAATTGTATCGCATGGCTGTTAATGAAAATGCCACGCTGCCAAGTACTTCCTAGAGCTGCTACGACCTAGAAAAAAAATTTAGATGATAAGAAAATATGAACAACCAAATAATAATTTGATGATCATTTTCTTTGATTAAATTGATTGATGTAGCCGTTACTACGTGGTAGGAGATCATCATGAGAAATGAAACTTTATATGTTTTTTACCATTTCTCATTTTTCAAGATTTTCTTTGATGCTTTTGGAAAATATATGAACTGTTGCGTCATTTTATTTTTTCATACAATTTATTGAAAACTTCTCAACAATTTGGAATCGTTAGTTTGGACTTCCATTGTCTAATAATATATAAAATTATTTGAAATCTCTAAAAGAACCAATAAAAGTTGAAAATTCAAAAGAATAGCTGAAAGAAACAGTTATGTTAAGCAAAAAAACCCTGAAATAAAATATAAGTAAGAAAATAGAACAATCAAACCGAACTTACTCGATCCGCTCCCTACTATATAGGTAAAATGATGTTTGTTACGTGTTCGGAAGTAGGCTGTCCTTACCCGATCTGCATGTGGAAGATCATAAAATTATTTGCTGCATGCATTCTACTATGAACATGGAGCAAAGTTTCATAATAGAAAAGAGTATTTTGGAAAAAACCATCGAAGAATTTCAAGAAGACACAGAATGTGTGAATTACTAGCAGCTCAAAAACAAACCATAGCGGAAGCCGAAATTCGAATGATGAAACTTCAAAAAGTCATCGAACAGCTTCAAAAGAAGCTACTTGCATAACAAGCACTCAATCAAATCTGTGTGAAACCACAAAAGAGATCAGCATCCAATCCATAATAGACCTAAACGAAGAGCAATAGATAAAATGAAGTTAAAACAGGAAATTGTGACATCCTCAAGAATAAACCAGAAATCATGACGATTGATAAAAGCATACAATGGAGTATCATAGAACCTGCTGGTGATGAATCTATAAACTTAATTGAATGTGTCAATGAAATTGAAACCCTGAATGAAGTAAAAATTGCGGAAAAAACCAATTACAATTATGGAAAAAGAAGAGGCCTCATTTGAAGAAGAAAGCATCTAATCTTACAGGCAATAACTATTCAACTGATTTGAGGGTAGATATAATAGAACCTAATGGTATCCACCCTTCTGATATTCTTACCAGTGATCTAAGGAAAACTTCTACTGATTCTGGGAGCTCACAAGATGATGACAAACTTCCGGATAGCCTCCCCAAAGGATCTCCAACAGTAATGTCTAGGATTATTATTCTTGACAATGAATACGCGGAAGGTTATCAAAATGTGATAATACGATCCGTTGGTAAGGATGAATACGTTGTGAACGAAACTATAGAAGCTGGTACAGAACTCTCTGTTTTGACAAATAGTATTTTTAATTATGCTATTAATTATAGACAAACTGATTATATTATACTTTCACTGTTTGGAGTCTTTGGTGTAGTAATGAATAATACTGGAGTTTTTTCCCCAACACCAAATCGTTATTTTAACACCTTGACACGTGTTTTGATCACCAAGTGATCATCTTCAAGAGGAAGATCAAACTAATCATACTTACAAAGCTATCCCTATTCATACCATAGATACCTGTTCCAGGTACCTGCATCTTGAGTGTCTTAAATTAATTTTACAATTTGTCTATCTACTTATAACGCCTACACTGACTGGCTCGATCTTGAATCATCCTTCGTTCCAGCCAGCTAAAATGTGACGTGACAGAAAACTTTACCTGAATCTACAATTTACAAGCTAAATTCAATATTTTCTTAAAATAATAGCGTTTGTTTCAGATGGCGCCTTAGTATGGGCAATATTTATGGCAAAAATATCAAGAACGAGCGTCAAGGTACTAGATGGCGCGCGAAATTGCATCAAACAAGTTTACCATGGCTACTGTATTACTATTCTCTTATATTTATACTGTGGTATTACTATGTATATTTGTAATGAATGTATTATTATTATTAACTATAATTTGTAAACATTCATTAATACAAGAAACTCCATCATAACTGGGTATTGCATCTATATCAAATGTTATAGGAAACATTACGCTTTTGATTCAGTTGCGAGGTAACTTGTAGTTGCAAAAACACTTGAGCATTTGGGATGATCAAAAATGATTTAATAATCTATATGAATATTACTGGAGTTTTATCCCAACACCTAGCCGTTACTTTTTAACACGTCGACACGTGTTTGAATCACCAAGTGATCATCTTCAAGTGAAAGATAAAACAGTTCAATTTTACTCTCGAAGATGGTCACTTGGTGATTGAAACACGGGTCGAGGTGTTGGGGTGTTGGGTGCATTACAAATACTATGCTATATATTGAGTTTTTATTGTTTGATATATAATTGTTTCTTAAATATTTCCAAAAACAACAAACAACACACCAGACTGACACTTTTACGACTCATCCATGTCAAATGGTTGGAGATATTAATTGCGGCGAGTATTCAATTATTATTACATAGACTCTGCTGTCAACGGATAATTGATATTGTTCAGCTGTTGTCATCTTGACACAAAATATGCTTACTTCAAGCACACGAAAATATATTCAGCATTTATCACAAATTCAAATATTTACTACTCATTTCGATATTTTTAATAGTTACAAAAAGACGGTTTCAGGAAGGTGAAGTTATTATTATGAAGAAAAGAGAATTGAAACATTCTATGTTTTTTACCACTTTCGTTTGTAACTAATGTTACTGCAATATTGTCCTATAAGTATATTTTCAAACTTATACATTAAACTCAGTTTAATGTATATACAGTGTTACCATAAGGAAAACTTTTTTTTCTTAAAGTTTCAATGAAGTTTAACTTCGGCACTTGTTTGTGCTTTAAATTTAACTTAAAATGATGCGGCCAACTGCGACCCACTGACGTTCAGTGTTTGTCAAATTCAACTTTTTTTTGAAAAAAATTGAAAAAGTGCATTTCTAGATCGAATTTAACAAAAAGTTACTTGAAAAAGTTGTGTCTACGGCAATTTTATAT